CTTTATTTTTGTTTTTATTTTGTTTTTTTTTCCAGAACCGGGGATTGAACTCAGGCCCTTGCGCTTGCCAGGGAAGCGCTTATTCCACTGAGCCATCTCCCTGGCCCCTCTTAGTGTATTTAATATACCTCATTAAGTCTGTAATGCATACTCAACTGAATGAAAAATAATTTTTTTGTAGTAAATACAACAAGACAGTGAGAATTAAAATTTTATAGAACTTAAAATGTTGGGGCTGGGGAGATAGCTCAGTGGAATAAGTGCTTGCCTGGCAAGTACAAGGTCCTGAGTTCGATCCCTGGTACCATACACACACACACACACACACACACACACACACACACACACACAGAAATAAAATGCTGCAGTTCCTATAATTCAATCATCTTTCCCTCATGCATAGCTTCTATTTCAGAGTGTCATTTTTATTTTTTCAGAGTATCATTTTTTTTTTAATTTTTTAATTTTTTTTTCAGAGTATCATTTTTAATAGGTAAGTCTGAAAAAAATATTATTTCAAGTTTCATACCCTCTATTTTATGTTCATGAAATAAAACACAGTACCACTCAAGGCAGCAATGTAAAATTTTCAGGATTTTTTTTGTTGAAACTCACTTTATTTAAAAAAAAAAAAAAGAAAGAAAGAAACTGTCATGAACAATAAATTACAATCATTTCCCCCTTTTATAAATTCTTCATAAAATATATTTGACAATTTAGAAAGAAAATTTCAAAAGTTGCTTTCATTTCTGAAGTGCTGATGACTTATTTTTGACCATTTTGTCATGCTGGTGAATTATTTTGTAGCTGCTACAATAGTTTGATAACATTTTACAATTAAAACAACAACAACAAAGAAAAAAATAGACCAGCAGAAAGAACTATTCTGTGTGCTATTTATCTGACACTTAACATTTACTTCATCATAATGACAAAGTATCCCTTAGCACCACAAATCTACGGGAACCCCATCTAAGTGACAACTAGTGCAAAATAACATTCTAGGAACTAACTGTACAAACCCTATATTTCAACCGGACACAGCTGCCTATAAGCTTATTTGAATATTTGGTCTTTTTCAATTAAGACAAATTTAATGAAACACTATGGCAAGACACTATGAGGAATAATTGTTTATTGAGTACCTATTAATGGGCAAGGCACTGTGCATGAATTCGTGACTTCATTTTTCCCCTAGCAAATATCTCAGAACTTCCAAGTATCACCAATCATCTTTTACATTTTATTCTTGGCTGGGAAAGACCTGTAGCTAAATACCATTTTTAAATTAATATTTTTATCAATTATTTTTTAGTGCTGAGCACACAGTAGGTACTTAATAAATACCTCTGACTGAAAGAATAAAGGAAGATGAAGAATTCATTATTATTTTGGCTATTTTAGAAATCAAAGAGTTGAGAAAATTCCAGAAGAAACTTCTGATCATCCCATATCCTTATTCTTTATGAAAAAAAAATTCTACTTCACAAGTAAAATCTTTCAAAATAAACAATAATCAGGGCTGGGGATGTAGCTCCATGGTAAAACGCCTGTGTAGTATGGAAGAGACCCTGGGTTCAATTCCAAGCACAAAAAAAAAAAAAAAAAAAAAAATTAAAAAATGCTTCTAAATTAACTATGCCAGTTTCTCTAAAACAAAATAGTTCTTACTTGGGAAACTGTAGTGCCAAGTACACAGATATATAAAGAGCCAATTAAGTAAGAGATATTACCTACCTATCTGCTGAGGTGCCACATTATTC